CCTCATCAACAGCAGTAAATGGACATTATATAAAATATTGATTATTATCGGTATTTGCTCCGCACGAGCAATATTAATACGTGTATAATTAATTCTCGTGGTAGATCAAAATGCTGTTTACACATCATGTCTGGACAACATTGTATATAGAAATTCAGATGCGTAGATATAGATTAATTTGCATACACGCACGTGTTTATGACGTATGTACACGTATATATCATTGGAACAAATCAGAAAGTCGTTTACCGAAAGAGGTAAAAAAGGGATTCCCGACAATTTTATTCTGAAATTAATTATATAGCGAAACCAATAACTTTTAAACGTTGTGACGTCAGCTGCATCTTGTGACGTCGACTGCAACTTCGGTTTATATAAAAATAAATGAAAACATTCAGGTACATCGTGGATAATGTTTTGAATTGAAGTGATGGATACAGCGTGAACTGTGTATGCCCCTTGTAAGTACAGTGTAAACAGATTTACTTATCATGATGTATCCATTTTGTTCCATTTCTATTATTGACTTGGTATAATCAACCTTGTCCCAAAGGTAATCTCTCCGGAACTACGCCGTGATCTTTAAATCATTCATCATTTTACAATACATGTGATTATAGGAAAGTGCAACTCGGGGTCATTTACACTCTTGTCGCGCACGATTGTGTCTAAAAAATGTATCTAACTGTTGATATTTATAATATCAGAAAATTCTAATTCCAATGAAACCGAAATCCAAGGATCTCACCTCAGATATATATATATATATATATATATATATAATGTAAGGCTGTGTGTGCTGATTTTCCTCGTTCTCAGATATATATATATATATATATATATATATATATATATATATATATATATAAAATACAATGTACCATAAAAATTGGATTACACCCAAACATGGTACTGGCAGCGAAAGATACAATTCCTATTCTACACAAAAGCGCAAAGATGCGTAATTTAGTTCAAGCGTCCGAAATCCTTCAAAGCAAACGACAACCGGCAAATCTGAAGAGAATACTCACGAGAGCTAAATTTGATGACTCTGACCAACGCAACTTTGCAGTATGAAAGTGTGGTGACACGAGATGCGGAATATGTGCTTATATACATCAAGGACAATACCTAACATTAAAAAACGGGATGTCGGTTAAACCAAATAGTGACTTGAATTGTAAAAGCAAGAATTTGATTTATGTCATTATGTGTCCATAAAGAACTTCGGCCAATCAGGGAATTCTCTGAGTGAAAGAGTCCGTGTACACAAACAGTAAACAGCCGGAAACACGTACAATTCCACTGAGTGAACATTTAGATAAGTGTGGAAAAGGAACTTTCCTAATTTTCCCATTTTACAAGATGGCTGAAAATAATACTTCAGATATATATGTATAAATCCAAGGAACACTTATATAGGTAGGTGTATATTTGACCACAGTGACAACAGTGACAACAGTCCACTGATATAGGTATTCAGTGTTTATTTGACCACAGTGACAACAGTCCAGTTATATAGGTATCCAGTGTTTATTTGACCACAGTGACAACAGTGACAACAGTCCAGTGATATAGGTATTCAGTGTTTATTTGACCACAGTGACAACAGTGACAACTGTCCAGTGATATAGGTATTCAGTGTTTATTTGACCACAGTGACAACAGTCCAGTTATATAGGTATTCAGTGTTTATTTGACCACAGTGACAACAGTCCAGTAATATAGGTATCCAGTGTTTATTTGACAACAGTGACAACAGTCCAGTTATATAGGTATCCTGTGTTTATTTGACAACAGTGACAACAGTCCAGTTATATAGGTATCCTGTGTTTATTTGACCACAGTGACAACAGTCCAGTTATATAGGTATCCAGTGTTTATTTGACCACAGTGACAACAGTCCAGTTATATAGGTATCCAGTGTTTATTTGACCACAGTGACAACAGTCCAGTTATATAGGTATCCAGTGTTTATTTGACAACAGTGACAACAGTCCAGTTATATAGGTATCCAGTGTTTATTTGACCACAGTGACAACAGTGACAACAGTCCACTGATATAGGTATTCAGTGTTTATTTGACCACAGTGACAACAGTGACAACTGTCCAGTGATATAGGTATTCAGTGTTTATTTGACCACAGTGACAACAGTCCAGTGATATAGGTATTCAGTGTTTATTTGACAACAGTGGTCAAGTTATATAGGTATTCATTGTGTTTCTGACCATAGTGACAACAGTCCAGTTATATAGGTATCCAGTGTTTATTTGACAACAGTAACAACAGTGACAACAGTCCAGTTATATAGGTATCCAGTGTTTATTTGACAACAGTGGTCAAGTTATATAGGTATTCATTGTGTTTCTGACCATAGTGACAACAGTCCAGTTATATAGGTATTCAGTGTTTATTTGACAACAGTGGTCAAGTTATATAGGTATCCAGTGTTTATTTGACCACAGTGACAACAGTCCAGTTATATAGGTATCCAGTGTTTATTTGACAACAGTGACAACAGTCCAGTTATATAGGTATCCAGTGTTTATTTGACAACAGTGACAACAGTCCAGTTATATAGGTATCCAGTGTTTATTTGACCACAGTGACAACAGTCCAGTTATATAGGTATCCAGTGTTTATTTGACAACAGTGACAACAGTCCAGTTATATAGGTATCCAGTGTTTATTTGACAACAGTAACAACAGTGACAACAGTCCAGTTATATAGATATTCAGTGTTTATTTGACCAGTGACAACAGTCCAGTTATATAGGTATCCAGTGTTTATTTGACCACAGTGACAACAGTCCAGTTATATAGGTATCCAGCATTTATTAGACAACAGTGACAACAGTCCAGTTATATAGGTATCCTTTGTTTATTTGACCACAGTGACAACAGTCCAGTTATATAGGTATCCTTTGTTTATTTGACCAGTGACAACAGTCCAGTTATATAGGTATCCTTTGTTTATTTGACCATAGTGACAACAGTCCAGTTATATAGGTATCCAGTGTTTATTTGACCACAGTGACAACAGTCCAGTTATATAGGTATCCAGTGTTTATTTGACCACAGTGACAACAGTCCAGTTATATAGGTATCCAGTGTTTATTTGACCACAGTGACAACAGTCCAGTTATATAGGTATCCAGCATTTATTAGACAACAGTGACAACAGTCCAGTTATATAGGTATCCTTTGTTTATTTGACCACAGTGACAACAGTCCAGTTATATAGGTATCCTTTGTTTATTTGACCAGTGACAACAGTCCAGTTATATAGGTATCCTTTGTTTATTTGACCACAGTGACAACAGTCCAGTTATATAGGTATCCAGTGTTTATTTGACCACAGTGACAACAGTCCAGTTATATAGGTATTCAGTGTTTATTTGACCACAGTGACAACAGTCCAGTTATATAGGTATTCATTGTTTATTTGACCACAGTGACAACAGTCCAGTTATATAGGTATCCAGCATTTATTAGACAACAGTGACAACAGTCCAGTTATATAGGTATCCTTTGTTTATTTGACCACAGTGACAACAGTCCAGTTATATAGGTATCCTTTGTTTATTTGACCAGTGACAACAGTCCAGTTATATAGGTATCCTTTGTTTATTTGACCACAGTGACAACAGTCCAGTTATATAGGTATCCAGTGTTTATTTGACAACAGTGACAACAGTCCAGTTATATAGGTATCCAGTGTTTATTTGACAACAGTGACAACAGTCCAGTTATATAGGTATCCAGTGTTTATTTGACCACAGTGACAACAGTCCAGTTATATAGGTATCCAGTGTTTATTTGACCACAGTGACAACAGTCCAGTTATATAGGTATCCAGTGTTTATTTGACCACAGTGACAACAGTCCAGTTATATAGGTATCCAGTGTTTATTTGACAACAGTGGTCAAGTTATATAGGTATTTAGTGTTTATTTGACCACAGTGACAACAATCCAGTTATATAGGTATCCAGTGTTTATGTGACCACAATGACAACAGTGACAACAGTCCAGTTATATACGTATCCAGTGTTTATTTGACCAGTGACAACAGTTCAGTTATATAGGTATCCAGTGTTTATTTGACCACAGTGACAACAATCCAGTTATATAGATATTCAGTGTTTATTTGACCAGTGACAACAGTCCAGTTATATAGGTATCCAGTGTTTATTTGACCACAGTGACAACAGTCCAGTTATATAGGTATTCAGTGTTTATTTGACCACAGTGACAACAGTCTAGTTATATAGGTATCCAGTGTTTATTTGACCACAGTGACAACAGTCCAGTTATATAGGTATTCAGTGTTTATTTGACCAGTGACAACAGTCCAGTTATATAGGTATCCAGTGTTTATTTGACCAGAGTGACAACAGTCTAGTTATATAGGTATTCAGTGTTTATTTGACCACAGTGACAACAGTCTAGTTATATAGGTATCCAGTGTTTATTTGACCACAGTGACAACAGTCCAGTTATATAGGTATTCAGTGTTTATTTGACCAGTGACAACAGTCCAGTTATATAGGTATCCAGTGTTTATTTGACCAGTGACAACAGTCCAGTTATATAGGTATTCAGTGTTTATTTGACAACAGTAACAACAGTGACAACAGTCCAGTTATATAGATATTCAGTGTTTATTTGACCAGTGACAACAGTCCAGTTATATAGGTATCCAGTGTTTATTTGACCACAGTGACAACAGTCCAGTTATATAGGTATCCAGTGTTTATTTGACCACAGTGACAACAGTGACAACAGTCCAGTTATATAGGTATCCAGCATTTATTAGACAACAGTGACAACAGTCCAGTTATATAGATATTCAGTGTTTATTTGACCACAGTGACAACAGTCCAGTTATATAGGTATCCAGTATTTATTAGACAACAGTGACAACAGTTCAGTTATATAGGTATCCAGTGTTTATTTGACCACAGTGACAACAGTCTAGTTATATAGGTATCCAGTGTTTATTTGACCACAGTGACAACAGTCTAGTTATATAGGTATCCAGTGTTTATTTGACCACAGTGACAACAGTCCAGTTATATAGGTATTCAGTGTTTATTTGACCACAGTGACAACAGTCCAGTTATATAGGTATTCAGTGTTTATTTGACAACAGTGACAACAGTCCAGTTATATAGGTATTCAGTGTTTATTTGACCACAGTGACAACAGTCCAGTTATATAGGTATTCAGTGTTTATTTGACAACAGTGACAACAGTCCAGTTATATAGGTATCCAGTGTTTATTTGACCACAGTGACAACAGTCCAGTTATATAGGTATTCAGTGTTTATTTGACCACAGTGACAACAGTCCAGTTATATAGGTATTCAGTGTTTATTTGACAACAGTGACAACAGTCCAGTTATATAGGTATTCAGTGTTTATTTGACAACAGTGACAACAGTCTAGTTATATAGGTATTCAGTGTTTATTTGACCACAGTGACAACAGTCCAGTTATATAGGTATTCAGTGTTTATTTGACCACAGTGACAACAGTCCAGTTATATAGGTATCCAGTGTTTATTTGACCACAGTGACAACAGTCCAGTTATATAGGTATCCAGTGTTTATTTGACCACAGTGACAACAGTCTAGTTATATAGGTATTCAGTGTTTATTTGACCACAGTGACAACAGTCCAGTTATATAGGTATTCAGTGTTTATTTGACAACAGTGACAACAGTCCAGTTATATAGGTATTCAGTGTTTATTTGACCACAGTGACAACAGTCCAGTTATATAGGTATTCAGTGTTTATTTGACCACAGTGACAACAGTCCAGTTATATAGGTATTCAGTGTTTATTTGACAACAGTGACAACAGTCCAGTTATATAGGTATTCAGTGTTTATTTGACCACAGTGACAACAGTCCAGTTATATAGGTATTCAGTGTTTATTTGACAACAGTGACAACAGTCCAGTTATATAGGTATCCAGTGTTTATTTGACCACAGTGACAACAGTCCAGTTATATAGGTATTCAGTGTTTATTTGACCACAGTGACAACAGTCCAGTTATATAGGTATCCAGTGTTTATTTGACCACAGTGACAACAGTCCAGTTATATAGGTATCCAGTGTTTATTTGACCACAGTGACAACAGTCCAGTTATATAGGTATTCAGTGTTTATTTGACAACAGTGACAACAGTCCAGTTATATAGGTATTCAGTGTTTATTTGACCACAGTGACAACAGTCCAGTTATATAGGTATTCAGTGTTTATTTGACAACAGTGACAACAGTCCAGTTATATAGGTATTCAGTGTTTATTTGACAACAGTGACAACAGTCCAGTTATATAGGTACCCAGTGTTTATTTGACCACAGTGACAACAGTCCAGTTATATAGGTATCCTGTGTTTATCTTATTACGAATTCTCTAGGATACACGGAAAACTTTCCTTTGATTGTATATATACCTATGGCATCTTTGTAGAAAAACTATAAACAATTTAAGAGAAAGTGCTTAGGTCAAATGATAAACGCAAAACGTGGAATTAAGCGCTGAATATATCAATCATGACATGACTGTAATTGCATGAAATCTGGATCGTCCACTTGGATTGTTTTGGATGTCTCTAACATTCTGAAAATAAAACATCATGACATTTAATAATTGTACCAAGCTTATCTAAATCATCTTGGTTTTATAAAAGTCAATAAAAGATTTGAGAATTGATCAGAAATTGAACATAACACACTATTGTGCTTATGGATTCGGATGTCTGGATAAAAGATAAAAATTTTTTATTGTCTTCACACGCTTTAAGCAGACTACTGGGAGTTTTACAAAGATTTACCTTCATGCAGTGTCACAGATCTGTCAGTCATACCGACGTCGTTATAAATCTGTACTGTGTAGCGTCCGTAGTCCTTGTCCTCGAATGACGTCACTCTCAGCCTCGTTATGGTTCCGGTTTTCTCCACCGTTTCTCCATTGGACGAGACCACAATGTCAATGTCATTGTTGACGATGTGATATTTCAACGAGTCGTTAGTTATTTCCTCGTTACCCTTCAACCACCTGATGCGTCGATAACCTGTCAACGAATGGAATGTCGCCCATATCTGTCCCGTTGAGTTCGTGACGTCAGTTGTCATATCCTGAACTATTTCAGGAATACCTGTTCAAAAGATCAAACAATCTCTTACAATGATGTCCAATTTTACAAAACCTACGACGAAAATGCCTCTAGATCGAAAACATTTACAATTCAAACTCAAATTCAATGAAATCAGAGCAAGCCATTCGAACAAATTTTACACGGAGACTCAAGAAGAATTATATAAGGAAAGTAAGACTAGATGTTCCGGTAGTGTAAGCGTCTTCTGCTTTATCTACGACACCGCCATATTTATATCTTGGTCAATTCAAGGAAGTAATAACATGTTTAAAATAAGAACAAGGTAAACGACAATGGAATCAACAGGCATATTAACGTAGATAAATACATTAACGAAAATGGAACTTCTTACGATTGACAGAATAGTTGTTATATTCTGGGCTTATAATAAGAGTGAATCTCAAGTTCTCAGTGAATAAGGATGCTTTATAGCATTTTGTGCCGAAATCTATGTAAATCGATACAATTATAACTTTGAGGATTTCTAAAGTGTCACTCGCAACAACCCTGTGATTAAAATGTCGGTCCATATCTGTTATTAACACATTCGAAGATCTAAATTGACCATATTCCTGAATGCATATCGCTACAAAATAACCAAACCATCATTAACCTTGTCCGTTTTCAATTAACTTCACTGGAATCACTGCTTGCCCCGCTTCATTTGACAAAATGGCATCATACATCCCATAATCCTCTGCTGTAAGACACGTGACAGTCAAGATGGAGGATATCGAATGTTTGGTCCGCACCAGGGAATTGGGGTCGTCATGATCTCCGGATGGTTCAGTCTGTATCTGATACTTGTTGATAGGGTGGTTTATCTGGACCTCCACACCCCTGAAGTACCACTTCAAACTGAAGTTGGGGTAATGGGAGGTGAAATTCACGTTTAAAAGAGCAGAGTCTCTATCATACGTCACACCAACGTCACTGGAGGTGATAGGGTTAGCTGTAAAGACAGCGTTTTATCTATGGTTAAACACATCAAGCTGACATTTACACTACAGTTTCATTTCTTCCTCTTGTCACTACGACAGAAATGAAAGGTAGTTTTCCCCTGAACATGGGTGTATAAAGGAGTATATACGATACAACATGAGAGTTTTCCCCTGAACATGGGTGTATAAAGGAGGATATACGGTACAACATGAGAGTTTTCCCCTGAACATAGGTGTATAAAGTAGTATATACGGTACAACATGAGAGTTTTCCCCTGAACGTGGGTGTATAAAGTAGTATATACGGTACAACATGAGAGTTTTCCCCTGAACGTGGGTGTATAAAGGAGTATATACGGTACAACATGAGAGTTTTCCCCTAAACATCGGTGTATAAAGGAGTATATACGGTACAACATGAGAGTTTTCCCCTGAACATAGGTGTATAAAGTAGTATATACGGTACAACATGAGAGTTTTCCCCTGAACGTGGGTGTATGAAGGAGTATATACGGTACAACATGAGAGTTTTCCCCTGAACGTGGGTGTATAAAGTAGTATATACGGTACAACATGAGAGTTTTCCCCTGAACGTGGGTGTATAAAGGAGTATATACGGTACAACATGAGAGTTTTCCCCTGAACGTGGGTGTATAAAGGAGTATATACGGTACAACATGAGAGTTTTCCCCTGAACGTGGGTGTATAAAGGAGTATATACGATACAACATGAGAGTTTTCCCCTGAACATGGGTGTATAAAGGAGTATATACGGTACAACATGAGAGTTTTCCCCTGAACGTAGGTGTATAAAGTAGTATATACGGTACAACATGAGAGTTTTCCCCTGAACGTGGGTGTATGAAGGAGTATATACGGTACAACATGAGAGTTTTCCCCTGAACGTGGGTGTATAAAGGAGTATATACGGTACAACATGAGAGTTTTCCCCTGAACGTGGGTGTATAAAGGAGTATATACGGTACAACATGAGAGTTTTCCCCTGAACGTGGGTGTATAAAGTAGTATATACGGTACAACATGAGAGTTTTCCCCTGAACATAGGTGTATAAAGTAGTATATACGGTACAACATGAGAGTTTTCCCCTGAACGTGGGTGTATAAAGGAGTATATACGGTACAACATGAGAGTTTTCCCCTGAACGTGGGTGTATAAAGTAGTATATACGGTACAACATGAGAGTTTTCCCCTGAACGTGGGTGTATAAAGGAGTATATACGGTACAACATGAGAGTTTTCCCCTGAACGTGGGTGTATAAAGGAGTATATACGGTACAGCATGAGAGTTTTCCCCTGAACATGGGTGTATAAAGGAGTATATACGGTACTACATGAGAGTTTTCCCCTAAACATCGGTGTATAAAGGAGTATATACGGTACAACATGAGAGTTTTCCCCTGAAAATGGGTGTATAAAGGAGTATATACGGTACAACATGAGAGTTTTCCCCTGAACATGGGTGTATAAAGGAGTATATACGGTACAACATGAGAGTTTTCCCCTGAACATGGGTGTATAAAGGAGTATATACGGTACAACATGAGAGTTTTCCCCTGAACATGGGTGTATAAAGGAGTTTATACGGTACAACATGATGATGTTTTCCCCTGAACATGGGTGTATAAAGGAGTATATACGGTACAACATGAGAGTTTTCCCCTGAACATGGGTGTATAAAGGAGTATATACGGTACAACATGAGAGTTTTCCCCTGAACATGGGTGTATAAAGGAGTATATACGGTACAACATGATGGTGTTTTCCCTAAACATGGGTGTATAAAGGAGTATATACGGTACAACATGAGAGTTTTCCCCTGAACATTGGTGTATAAAGGAGTATATACGGTACAACATGAGAGTTTTCCCCTGAACATGGGTGTATAAAGGAGTATATACGGTACAACATGATGGTGTTTTCCCTAAACATGGGTGAATTTCCCAATCCGACAATACCAGAATATAACATAGTGTACTTTTTATTCATTTTAGAAATGGAGCCGAATTTACATAACTGCAAATGTAGTTTTATTTAGTTTATTGCAACGTGAACCGAACTCTGAGCGAAAAACATCAAATTAAACAAAAAAAACCCAAAAAACAAAAAAAACAAAAACAAAAACAAAACAAAAACAAAATATTTTCAGGTTGATAAAACATAAGACATATACATATTCTACAGCTATATTTTTTCGGCCATGATTATATGATTCAGCCATTACAATGTAACTTGTTATTTCCACCTCTGATACATGGATGGTCCAACCTAGTTGAAGTTTTCCGTTACCCTAACCGCTATGTTCCGTAAGTCCATCATTTAGTACTTACAGTTTTACAGAATTGTAGTTTACATACCATACTCGGGATTTTGAACATTGATGAAGTATTCAGAACTTCCTATTTCGTTTGAGATTGTGATATGATACACTCCATAATCTTCGGCTGATGGTGAAGACACATTTATTGAAGTCTTGTGACCTGGCCGGCTAAATGTCTTGAAATGTACGGGCAGATTGACGTCATGTGGTTCCGTTTCTATGACGTTGCTATCCGATGAACTGATACGCTTTTCGTTTCGATACCACGTGACCCGACGATATGGAGGAAGTGAATAGAAGGGTACGGCTATGAGTATACGGGTGCTTGTGACGTCAACTGTTGATTCAAGAATCTGAGGAACGGCTGAAGGAAACATAAAAAAAATCATGTTTTAATTGGCAAGAAACGTGCGGCCAGCTTTAAGATTGGTAGCAATAGACATACCAAGCAATGCCAGGCTTGCAATCATGAGTAGTAGATTCGAAAACCCTACACGACAACTAGAAGCATTTGGTCTAGACATATCTGCTATCGCACGATACATTTTGTCTCAAAGACGTTAAAGAATTTGCTTCAGCTTAAACAAACCATGAGTATCGAGTACACTCATGCGTTTTTTTGACAATGAAAATATGAAAGGTCAGTGAAAGAAATTAACTGAAGTAAGGTGAGATACAACGGAAGTACCGAAAGTGTCAGCATTGTCAACACTAAACGACATACAAGGATAATTCACAATTACATGGGGGGGGGGGTCACAGGATGTCCTAGTACAGAACATTACAGGTGGCCATGGTATAATACAATATATATGTATTTAATGTGCTACCATGTTTTTTTACCCGAGGTGATGATGTGGAAATGATGAAATTTACCTAGAATTTCTGAAAATTTGTCGGAAGATACTAGTAGCTAAAATATCCCATATGATGTTATACTACATACATACACCTATAGTATGATGGTGTCACAAATCAAACCTCTGTCACCTTTCTGTCAAATTGCCCTATTTCTTACCTCTCACAGTTAGTTTAGTTCTATTGTGATGAACGATTATGTCATTTCCGGTTTCCTCTTCTTTAGCAACACAGGTGTAGGTGCCCGCATCCGAATACATACACGTCGGAATACTAAGTGTGTTGATTGTTCCATCTTGATCTCCGGGGAGTTTTCTGATGACGTCTCCATCTACTGAATGAATCCACGACTGCGTGATAGAACATGAAGTGACGTTGCACACGAGTTGAATGGCATTAGACTGGTCACAGGTAGCATAAGGGAAAACTATAACAAAACAATTTTTTAGAGTAATTTCGACAAAACGTAAGAAAAAATACATGCTTGAACCTGAAATAAGTCATTATTTGATTCCATATCTTAGATGTCAATGAATTAGAACGGACATTTTGCTGCGCATGTCATGTTTCTTACCTTCCGGTATCGTGACGTCAATGACGTGGTGCGTTATCCCCGCGTCATTCCTCAGGACAACGCGGTATGGTCCAAAGTCGTCTGATGTTATCATGGATATAGTCAGCAGAGCTGTATAATTAGCATTGGGCACCGTCGACGTTCTAGTGCTACCGATGGATGGATAATCATAGCTGCGATCAACATCGCTTTGATTTTGATGTGTTGGGTACCCGTATGTAAACCAATTCGACGAGAGGATCCCTTTCCACGTCATTTCCTGTCTATATTTGTCAGTTGCATTTTCCAGTTGAACATTACCATGGTACCAGGTAGCCGTTGGATATGCGATATTGGAGTCAAAATTCACTGTCAAGATGATGTCTTTATCACTCATTTGTACAGCTAGCGGTGTTGTTAACAGTCTGGGAAGCTCTACAACATTAAAACAGGACAAGGACGAACGTACATTAAAACATAAACAACACAAGGAAATATAACATCTTAAAGGATGACCTGTTATCACCTGTTATCATCATTTTGTTTTTTGTTTTTTATGATATTATTGATTTTTTTTCAGTTTTTATTGTATCTATTAGTAACTTAATTTAGTTATTGTCTTACTTAATGAAGTTATATATCAGGGTAAAACATTAAAAGATTACGACGTCATGTACGGTAATATGACGTCATGTACGGTAATATGGCGTCATGTACGGTAATATGGTGTCATGTACGATATTATGGCGTCATGTACGGTAATATGGTGTCATGTACGGTATTATGGCGTCATGTACGGTAATATGGCGTCATGTACGGTATTATGTTGTATTATTATTTTACTGTAGCTATATAAGGAGACATACATATATCACTAGATAACGTGTTACTGTAGATATATAGGGAGACAGACAGGTATAACTAGATAACGTGTTACTTTAGCTATATAGGGAGACATACAGGTATCTTTAGATCACGTGTTACTGAAGCTATATAGGGTGACATACAGATATCTGTAGATAACGTGTTACTGTAGCTATATAGGGAGACAGACAGGTATAACTAGATCACGTGTTACTGTAGCTATATAGGGAGACATACAGATATCTGTAGATAACGTGTTACTGTAGCTATATAGGGAGACAGACAGGTATTACTAGATAACGTGTTACTGTAGCTATATAGGGAGACATGCAGGTATTACTAGATAACGTGTTACTGTAGCTATATAGGGAGACAGACAGGTATAACTAGATAACGTGTTACTGTAGCTATATAAGGAGACATACAGGTATAACTAGATAACGTGTTACTGTAGCTATATAGAGAGACAGACAGGTATTACTAGATAACGTGTTACTGTAGCTATATAGAGAGACAGACAGGTATAACTAGATCACGTGTTACTGTAGCTATATAGGGAGACATACAGATATCTGTAGATAACGTGTTACTGTAGCTATATAGGGAGACATAAATATATTACTAGATAACGTGTTACTTTAGCTATATAGGGAGACATACAGATATTACTAGATAACGTGTTACTGTAGCTATATAGGGAGACATACAGGTATAACTAGATAACGTGTTACTGTAGCTATATAGGGAGACATACAGGTATAACTAGATAACGTGTTACTGTAGCTATATAGGGAGACATATAGGTATTACTAGATAACGTGTTACTGTAGCTATATAGGGAGACATATAGGTATTACTAGATAACGTGTTACTGTAGCTATATAGGGAGACATACAGGTATAACTAGATAACGTGTTACTGTAGCTATATAGAGAGACAGACAGGTATAACTAGATCACGTGTTACTGTAGCTATATAGGGAGACATACAGGTATAACTAGATAACGTGTTACTGTAGCTATATAGAGAGAAGATAACGTGTTACTGTAGCTATATAGGGAGACATACAGGTATAACTAGATAACGTGTTACTTTAGCTATATAGGGAGACATACAGATATTACTAGATAACGTGTTACTGTAGCTATATAGGGAGACATACAGGTATAACTAGATAACGTGTTACTTTAGCTATATAGGGAGACATACAGATATCACTAGATAACGTGTTACTGTAGCTATATAGAGAGACAGACAGGTATTACTAGATAATGCGTTACTGTAGCTATATAGGGAGACATACAGGTATTACTAGATAACGTGTTACTGTAGCTATATAGGGAGACATACAGGTATTACTAGATAACGTGTTACAGTAGCTATATAAGGAGACATACAGATATCTGTAGATAACGTGTTACAGTAGCTATATAGGGAGACATACAGGTATAACTAGATAACGTGTTACTGTAGCTATATAGGGAGACATACATATATTACTAGATCACGTGTTGCTGTAGCTATATAGGGAGACATACAGATATCTGTAGATAACGTGTTACTGTAGCTATATAGGGAGACATACAGATATATCTAGATAACGTGTTACTGTAGCTATATAGGGAGACATACATATATTACTAGATAACGTGTTACTGTAGCTATATAGGGAGACATACAGATATCTGTAGATAACGTGTTACTGTAGCTATATAGGGAGACATACAGATATCTGTAGATAACGTGTTGCTGTAGCTATATAAGGAGACATACAGATATATCTAGATAACGTGTTACTGTAGCTATATAGGGAGACAGACAGGTATTACTAGATAACGTGTTACAGTAGCTATATAGGGAGACAGACAGGTATTACTAGATAACGTGTTATTGTAGCTATACAGGGAGACAGACAGGTATGTTTGCCCATCACTAGAAAACAAAACAAAAAAATGAAAAGGAAGAAAAATAGAGAAAAGAATCGAAAATAACTGAAAACATTAAAAATGGAAGAAAAAAAAAGGAGAACAGGAGAGAAAGGAATTGAAAAGAAAAACGAAGACAAAGAACTTAAAAGAAGTGATAGGAAGAGGTCAGAAGTGTTGAAGAGAAAGCAGGAGAAAAGAAGAGAAAATGAGTGAAATTAAGAGAAAAGTGGAGAAAAGATAATAGAAGAGAAAAGATGTGAAAAAAGAGAAAAGAAGTGAAAACAAGAAAAAAAAGAAATGAAAACAAGAAAAAAGAACAAAAGAAGGGAAAACAGGAACAAAGAAGAATCAAGAAGTGAAAAGAATTGAAAACAAGAGAAATCAAGACAAAAGAAATGAAAAAAAGAGAAATCAAGACAAAAGAAATGAAAACAAGAGAAATCAAGACAAAAGAAATGAAAACAAGAGAAATCAAGACAAAAGAAATGAAAACAAGAGAAATCAAGACAAAAGAATTGAAAACAAGAGAAATCAAGACAAAAGAAATGAAAACAAGAGAAATCAAGACAAAAGAATTGAAAACAAGAGAAATCAAGACAAAAGAAATGAAAACAAGAGAAATAAAGACAAAAGAAATGAAAACAAGAGAAATCAAGACAAAAGAAATGAAAAAAAGAGAAATCAAGACAAAAGAAATGAAAACAAGAGAAATCAAGACAAAAGAAATGAAAACAAGAGAAATCAAGACAAAAGAAATGAAAACAAGAGAAATCAAGACAAAAGAAATGAAAAAAAAGAGAAAAAAGGAGAAAAGAAATGAAAAAAAAAGAGAAAAAAGGAGAAAAGAAGTGAAGTGAAAAGAGGTTAAAAGAAGAGAAAAGATGATAGAAAAGAGAAGAAAAAACGGAAAGAAGAGAAACGGCGAGAAAGAATGTGAAGGAAAATATCTAGTAATAAAGAATCAATAACGATCATACGATGCTTGATGCCACGGATCAACGCATGGATCTTTTACATTCGTGTCCAAAATTAGAACCTGCCATTACTGTTTTTCAATTTTGATGTTGATAAATCAAAGGATTATCTCCCTTACCTGTTCTGGGAAGATCCATATTAACGGAGATTTCCGATGACCCGATATCATTCCTTATGATACACATATATTCCCCGTAGTCAAGTTCTGTAGGTTCCACACGGCTCAACATGGCCATGTATATATCCTCGTTTTCATTTCCATTTTCATCACTTTGCACAAGCTTTGTCGCGATAGCGACGTCACTTCCGGTGTTAAGTATGTGTTGTGATTTGTACCATTCCACCTGTATCAGCGAACAAAATGAATATTAATGAATGATATTAGTGATACAGATTTCTCCATCTTGTAAAATGCTGGAAGTCAATATAGTATATATTCATGTTTGAGACAAATATGACATGAATGACGTAAGAGTTGTGATGTGATATGGTCTGTGATTGGAAGTATACAAGTCGATTTTTTCTTAGATTCATTTGTGAAGAATTCGCTCTAATAAATGGTGAAACTACGTGTATCTGTGATGCTAGATGGTGTATTTATTCAACATGCATTATTTAAGTTGTTAATGTATTTTTTTAATTATTTGAAAACGTCAATATGACTATATATATATATACCTCGAAGTTTGTATGCGAAGAAAACATCACCATGATAGTAGCATTCTCAGAAAATACTGTATAGTTTCGTATATCTGGAGCTACAACATAGATACTTCAAGCTTCATATCTTAAGGTATGCACATAACCCGACACAGAGTTTCTGACTCGATATATCAGCTCAGTAATCACTTATTAATTAAATTTCCCGATTACATTGTTTATTTATAAAATATTGGCAAAGTAATAAAAACTAATATTGTCATTTTTATCAGGTTTAAATATCTTAATATCAGATATGTTTACCCGAACTCCCTCTTCGCAGTGATATCAAACGTTCACTGACACCAAACTTGTTCCTGACGCCAACGTTGTAGTTGCCGAAGTCACTTGATTGTAGGTCTGTTATTACCATCGTGGCTGTAAACCCGTCTACAACGACGCCTGGTTCCGACGCAATGCCAACCTTAGCCGAAGTGACCCTGAATGTGTATCTGTCTTCCTGTTGAATATGGCGTCCAAGTCTACTCCAGTCCACCGCGGTGTGTGGTGTACTCGACATGAAGTCGACAGACATTTCGGCCACGCCCTTAGACACCTTCGTCACTACAGTCGGCGAGATGGATGGACTTGCTGAAAAAAGAAAAAGGAGGTAAGTAGCCAGATGAAGTTATTAACTCAGTCTATCGTTAATATTACTTACAATAATGAAGGTTATATACGAAACTGTATCCATTAGCTTATATAAACGGTTTGCAAAATATCAAGCGTGTTAGGTACATTTTTTTATATTATCTAAATATATGAGATTCACTGGATTATAGTGAACATCTCCATCTAGATTTTGACATTTTTTCGATCAGTTTTGATTATCGTCTCCTATGCTTCAACATTTAGGCCATAAACATCATTGATGGGTCCTAGAAGGTCGAAACAGCTGCATTATGTAACCTGATTGACGAGTCCTAGAAGGACGAAACGCCTGTATTATGAAACATCACTGACGAGTCCTAGAAGGACGAAACAGCTGTATGATGTGACATAACTGACGAATCCTAGAAGGACGAAACAGCTGTATTATGTGACATCACTGACGAGTCCTAGAAGGACGAAACAGCTGTATTATGTAACCTGACTGACGAGTCCTCGAAGGACAAAACAGCTGTATTATGTAACATAACTGACGAGTACTAGAAGGACGAAACAGCTGTATGATGTAGCTTAGTATATTGTTTGTCTCTACTGTATCTTATCAAAATTTGTATTAAACGTCCATATCCACTTGTATGTGTTTTATACAATATAAAGGTCAACATCAAGCTGTCTATGATTCCCCAGAAGAGAAATGTCAATGAAGAGAAAGGTTTTACCTTACTGACCTTCACCCTACTGACCTTCACCCTTCTGACCTTCACCTTACTGACCCTTCACCCTCCTATTTCATTATTACACAATTGAGTTTCTGCCAGATACTAATAAGTGGAAATAGAGACATCAAGTTCTGATTGTTTTAGATATCAAACTGTTAACGATCGATTCTGGTACTAGCGAGTCCCAGAACAGTGAATATCTTATGAGTTCATTCTCGGCCCCATAGGTTGTCAAGCTTACTAACAGAGTGAAACGAAGTGCCGTAACTCTGGGAATTGTCGAATTGGTGAACCAGTTAACACACACAATGGTGTGTTTGGCCGACTTGGGATTAAATATTGTTTATTTTCATGTTCTAGTGATCGATCACAAAATTCGTTTCGTTAAGTTTGAAACCAGATAAGACTACGAATGTTTCAAAACGCGGTAGTTTCATTCCTGAACAAATTTCCTCTTTCGTTGAAAAGAGTCAATGTTACGATTGTATTGTGATGGTCTTTTCTGTCTTCACCATTTTCTTCAGATTCAATTCTTTACGTCAGTAACAAATGAAAAGAATGTAAAATTATCGTTTCCTTATATTTTATAGATTGTTTAGAAATACCTTTCGTCCGGATGTAGGATAGATGGAAGCCTCGCCCTGGCGCCGTGTCGTCCGTCTTAAACTGGATAACTACTGATTTACCGGACGCCATGATAACTTGGGATTCACCGTGTCCGGATAACTTCGTAAGAACTCGCTCGAGATCGGAATCACCTGTATAGTGATTTAGACACTCTTTCTTTAGAACTGAGATTATATAAGAATCGAAAACATTGAAATTGTTATGAACTAAGTGGGTGATTAAAAAAGTTCGAGTTGCTATCTCCTGTATCAACAATTCATGCTAGGTAAAAATGAAGATAAATATTTAGATGATATTAGAATATTGAAAACGCCTGATGCCTTGGTAGATTTGTTTGGATAACACACCATTTTAGCTTAGTATTTTTATAAGAAAATATTTTAAAGAATTGATGCATGATTATTTTTTTGCTGGTGAGTATTTGACAGGAAAATTAATCATTCATGATTATAATTGTAATATTTACCGTCGTAAATGACAAGATGGTCATAGTTTACTTCCAATGCAAGGGTGTGAATAGTGATCTGTATGACGTCATCATTACATACGTCATCAGACTTTACCGTCCACTTACAATCCAGTGAGCTGAAACAAAAGAGTACATCTTTACTTCAAGCAAGTTAAAATCTTCTACGCGGACATCGTGTCTAAATGTATTTTCAGATTATGACAATCTTACGAGAAGTAATATTCGCCATCTATGAACCTCATATGCGCATGTAATTTACATGTCTCATAGTCCTCTTATAGACCTAATGGTCCCCTTATAGTCCTCAAAGACCTCTTATAGTCCTCATAGACCTCTTATTGTCCTTATAGACCTCTTATTATCCTCATATAACTCTTATTGTCCGCAAAGGCCTCTTATAGTCCTCATAAATCTATTATTATCTTCAAAGACCTCTTATAGTCCTCATAGTTCCCTTATAATCCCCATAGTTCTCATAGACATCTTATAGTCCTCACAGACCTCTTATAGTCCTCATAGACCTCTTATAGACCTCTTATTGTCCTTATAGACATCTTATAGTCCTCATATGCCTCTTATAGTCCTCACAGACCTCTTATAGTCCTCATAGACCACTTATAGTCCTCATAGACCTCTTATATACCTCTTATTGTCCTTATAGACATCTTATAGTCCTCATATGCCTCTTATAGTCCTCACAGACCTATTATTGTCCTCATATGCCTCTTATAGTCCTCACAGACCTATTATTGTCCTCATAAACCTCTTATTGTCCTCATATGCCTCTTATAGTCCTCACAGACCTATTATTGTCCTCATAGACCTCTTATTGTCCTCATATGCCTCTTATAGTCCTCACAGACCTATTATTGTCCTCATAGACATCTTATAGTCCTCATATGCCTCTTATAGTCCTCACAGACCTATTATTGTCCTCATAGACCTCTTATTGTCCTCATATGCCTCTTATAGTCCTCACAGACCTATTATTGTCCTCATAGACCTCTTATTGTCCTCATATGCCTCTTATAGTCCTCACAGACCTATTATTGTCCTCATAGACATCTTATAGTCCTCATATGCCTCTTATAGTCCTCACAGACCTATTATTGTCCTCATAGACATCTTATAGTCCTCATATGCCTCTTATAGTCCTCACAGACCTATTATTGTCCTCATAGACATCTTATAGTCCTCATATGCCTCTTATAGTCCTCACAGACCTATTATAGTCCTCACAGACCTATTATTGTCCTCATATGCCTCTTATAGTCCTCACAGACCTATTATTGTCCTCATAGACATCTTATAGTCCTCATATGCCTCTTATAGTCCTCACAGACCTATTATTGTCCTCATAGACATCTTATAGTCCTCATATGCCTCTTATAGTCCTCACAGACCTATTATAGTCCTCACAGACCTATTATTGTCCTCATATGCCTCTTATAGTCCTCACAGACCTATTATTGTCCTCATAGACATCTTATAGTCCTCATATGCCTCTTATAGTCCTCACAGACCTATTATTGTCCTCATAGACATCTTATAGTCCTCATATGCCTCTTATAGTCCTCACAGACCTATTATTGTCCTCATAGACATCTTATAGTCCTCATATGCCTCTTATAGTCCTCACAGACCTATTATTGTCCTCATAGACATCTTATAGTCCTCATATGCCTCTTATAGTCCTCACAGACCTATTATTGTCCTCATAGACCTCTTATTGTCCTCTCAGAGTTCTCGTACAATCTTCTTATTTTCTTCATAGTCCACATAGTCAGTCCTAAAAGTCCTCTCATAATCATTTTTACAGTCGTCGTTGTTATAGTCCTCTTATAGTGTACGTAGCACACTTAGACCTCCTACAGTTCTCGTAGTCCTCGTTGTATCATCACTGATCTAACAGTCCCCTTATAGAAGTACCGGTCACGTTATATCTTACAGTCATCTCATGGTCTTCAAAGTCCTCTCATAGTCCTCTTATAGTCTTCTTACTCCGCTTATAGAAATATAGTCCCTTTTTAATCCCCATAGTCCTCTTATAGTCTTCTTACTCCGCTTATAGAAATATAGTCCCTTTTTAATCCCCATAGTCCTCTTATAGTCTTCTTACTCCGCTTATAGAAATATAGTCCCTTTTTAATCCCCATAGTCCTCTTATAGTCTTCTTACTCCGCTTATAGAAATATAGTCCCTTTTTAATCCCCATAGTCCTCTTATAGTCTTCTTACTCCGCTTATAGAAATATAGTCCCTTTTTAATCCCCATAGTCCTCTTATAGTCTTCTTACTCCGCTTATAGAAATATAGTCCCTTTTTAATCCCCATAGTCCTCTTATAGTCTTCTTACTCCGCTTATAGAAATATAGTCCCTTTTTAATCCCCATAGTCCTCTTATAGTCTTCTTACTCCGCTTATAGAAATATAGTCCCTTTTTAATCCCCATAGTCCTCTTATAGTCTTCTTACTCCGCTTATAGAAATATAGTCCCTTTTTAATCCCCATAGTCCTCTTATAATCTTCTTACTCCGCTTATAGAAATATAGTCCCTCCTTTAAGTCCAATCTTCCCCTAATTAAGTCCTCTTATAGTCTTCTTACTCCGCTTATAGAAATATAGTCCCTTTTTAATCCCCATAGTCCTCTTATAGTCTTCTTACTCCGCTTATAGAAATATAGTCCCTTTTTAATCCCCATAGTCATCTCATGGTCTTCAAAGTCCTCTCATAGTCCTCTTTATATTCCTCTCAGTCCTAATTAAGTCCAATTATAGTCCTCTTAGTCCTAAGTAAGTCCAATCATAGTCTTCTCAGTCCTAATTAAGTCCAATTATAGTCTTCTCAGTCCTAATTAAGTCCAATTATAGTCCTCTTAGTCCTAATTAAGTCCAATTATAGTCCTCTTAGTCCTAATTAAGTCCAATTATAGTCTTCTCAGTCCTAATTAAGTCCAATTATAGTCTTCTCAGTCCTAATTAAGTCCAATTATAGTCTTCTCAGTCCTAATTAAGTCCAATTATAGTCTTCTCAGTCCTAATTAAGTCCAATTATAGTCTTCTCAGTCCTAATTAAGTCCAATTATAGTCCTCTTAGTCTCCTATAATCCCTTTGTTGTCCTCACAATGTTTCATTTTTTGATTACCAACCCAATTCTCAGGATAAAAAGTGATGACAATACAACCAATTGATAGAACTAGCTATGGACTATGATATACGACACAGGCTGTCATTGACATAATGAATAATATCGTATTGTCTGAGACGATATCCTTACTTCATCTCTTATTTCGTATCTAGAAATGAACTTTCCCACCAGAAGAATATTAAAATACAGAATATGTCAATCTATATTTATTAAAAGGTAGCAAAAGTTTGCAAACTTCTTGAAATTTATAAGTGATGAACTCGTATGATTACATTGCGTAATATTTATACATGTACCAATCTGTCAAACAATAAAGATATTTATATCTTAACTTAAAGCAAAGCTTGTCAATGTGACAACGTATAACTTACACTTCTTCAGTAGTCGGTTCGAGTCATTGTACACTATAGAAATGTGTAATGTTTGATGATACGGATTATAAAAATGTGTAATGTTTTATGATACGGATTATAATAATGTGTAATGTTTTATGATACAGATTATAAAAAGGTGTAATGTTTTATGATACGGATTATAGAAATGTGTAATGTTTGATGATACGGATTATAGAAATGTGTAATGTTTGATGATACGGATTATAATAATGTGTAATGTTTTATGATACAGATTATAAAAAGGTGTAATGTTTTATGATACGGATTATAGAAATGTGTAATGTTTGATGATACGGATTATAGAAATGTGTAATGTTTGATGATACGGATTATAATAATGTGTAATGTTTTATGATACAGATTATAAAAAGGTGTAATGTTTTATGATACGGATTATAAAAATGTGTAATGTTTTATGATACAGATTATAAAAAAGGTGTAATGTTTTATGATACGGATTATAGAAATGTGTAATGTTTGATGATACGGATTATAATAATGTGTAATGTTTTATGATACAGATTATAAAAATGTGTAATGTTTTATGATACGGATTATAAAAATGTGTAATGTTTTATGATACAGATTATAAAAAGGTGTAATGTTTTATGATACGGATTATAGAAATGTGTAATGTTTGATGATACGGATTATAATAATGTGTAATGTTTTATGATACGGATTATAAAAATGTGTAATGTTTTATGATACGGATTATAAAAATGTGTAATGTTTTATGATACGGATTATAAAAATGTGTAATGTTTTATGATACAGATTATAAAAAGGTGTAATGTTTTATGATACGGATTATAGAAATGTGTAATGTTTGATGATACGGATTATAATAATGTGTAATGTTTTATGATACGGATTATAAAAATGTGTAATGTTTTATGATACGGATTATAAAAATGTGTAATGTTTTATGATACGGATTATAAAAATGTGTAATGTTTTATGATACAGATTATAAAAAGGTGTAATGTTTTATGATACGGATTATAGAAATGTGTAATGTTTGATGATACGGATTATAATAATGTGTAATGTTTTATGATACGGATTATAAAAAGGTGTAATGTTTTATGATACGGATTATAAAAATGTGTAATGTTTTATGATACAGATTATAATAATGTGTAATGTTTTATGATACAGATTATAAAAATGTGTAATGTTTTATGATACGGATTATAAAAATGTGTAATGTTTTATGATACGGATTATAAAAATGTGTAATGTTTTATGATACAGATTATAAAAAGGTGTAATGTTTTATGATACGGATTACAAAAATGTGTAATGTTTTATGATACAGATTATAGAAATGTGTAATGTTTTATGATGCGGATTATAAAAAGGTGTAATGTTTTATGATACAGATTATAAAAAGGTGTAATGTTTTATGATACGGATTACAAAAATGTGTAATGTTTTATGATACAGATTATAGAAATGTGTAATGTTTTATGATGCGGATTATAAAAAGGTGTAATGTTTTATGATACAGATTATAAAAAGGTGTAATGTTTTATGATACGGATTATCAAAATGTGTAATGTTTTATGATACGGATTATAAAAATGTGTAATGTTTTATGAAACGGATTATAAAAATGTGTAATGTTTTATGAAACGGATTATAAAAATGTGTAATGTTTTATGATACGGATTATAAAAATGTGTAATGTTTTATGATACGGATTATAAAAATGTGTAATGTTTTATGAAACGATTTGTAGAAGTGTAATGTTTTATGATACGGATTATAAAAATGTGTAATGTTTTATGATACGGATTATAGAAATGTGTAATGTTTCATGATACGGATTATAATAATGTGTCATGTTTTATGATACAGATTATAAAAATGTGTAATGTTTTATGATACGGATTATAAAAATGTGTAATGTTTTATGATACGGATTATAAAAATGTGTAATGTTTTATGATACGGATTATAAAAATGTGTAATGTTTTATGATACGGATTATAAAAATGTGTAATGTTTTATGATACGGATTATAAAAATGTGTAATGTTTTATGAAACGGATTATAAAAATGTGTAATGTTTTATGATACGGATTATAAAAATGTGTAATGTTTTATGATACGGATTATAAAAATGTGTAATGTTTTATGAAACGATTTGTAGAAGTGTGTAATGTTTTATGATACAGATTATAAAAATGTGTAATGTTTTATGATACGGATTATAGAAATGTGTAATGTTTTATGATACGGATTATAAAAATGTGTAATGTTTTATGAAACGATTTGTACAAGTGTGTAATGTTTTATGATACGGATTATAGAAATGTGTAATGTTTTATGATACGGATTATAAAAATGTGTAATGTTTTATGAAACGATTTGTAGAAGTGTGTAATGTTTTATGATACGGATTATAAAAATGTGTAATGTTTTATGATACGGATTATAAAAATGTGTAATGTTTTATGATACGGATTATAAAAATGTGTAATGTTTTATGATACGGATTATAAAAAGGTGTCATGTTTTATGATACGGATTATAAAAATGTGTAATGTTTTATGAAACGATTTGTAGAAGTGTGTAATGTTTTATGATACGGATTAATGTTTTATGATACGGATTATAAAAATGTGTAATGTTTTATGATACGGATTATAATAATGTGTAATGTTTTATGATACGGATTATAAAAAGTGTAATGTTTTATGAAACGATTTGTAGAAGTGTGTAATGTTTTATGATACGGATTATAGAAATGTGTAATGTTTTATGATACGGATTATAAAAAGGTGTAATGTTTTATGATACGGATTATAAAAATGTGTAATGTTTTATGATACGGATTATAAAAATGTGTAATGTTTTATGATACGGATTATAAAAATGTGTAATGTTTTATGTTTGTAGATGTGTTGTTTTATGATACAGATTATAAAAATGTGTAATGTTTTATGATACGGATTATAAAAATGTGTAATGTTTTATGATACGGATTATAAAAATGTGTAATGTTTTAAACGAATGTGTAATGTTTTATGAAACGATTTGTAGAAGTGTGTAATGTTTTATGATACAGATTATAAAATGTGTAATGTTTTATGATACGGATTATAAAAATGTGTAATAAAATTATGTGTAATGTTTTATGATTCGGATTATAAAAATGTGTAATGTTTCATGATACAGATTATAAAAAGGTGTAATGTTTTATGATACGGATTATAAAAATGTGTAATGTTTTATGATTTGTAGAAGTGTGTAATGTTTTATGATACGGATTATAAAAATGTGTAATGTTTTATGACACGGATTATAATAATGTGTAATATTTTATGATACGGATTATAAAAATGTGTAATGTTTTATGATACGAATTATAAAAATGTGTAATGTTTTATGAAACGATTTGTAGAAGTGTGTAATGTTTTATGATACGGATTATAAAAATGTGTAATGTTTTATGATACGGATTATAAAAATGTGTAATGTTTTATGATACGGATTATAAAAATGTGTAATGTTTTATGATACAGATTATAGAAATGTGTAATGTTTTATGATACGGATTATAAAAATGTGTAATGTTTTATGATACGGATTATAAAAATGTGTAATGTTTTATGAAACGATTTGTAGAAGTGTGTAATGTTTTATGATACGGATTATAGAAATGTGTAATGTTTTATGATACGGATTATAAAAAGGTGTACTGTTTTATGATACGGATTATAAAAATGTGTAATGTTTTATGATACGGATACATGTAGCATTAGACGTGATAAAGCACTCATAACAGGACGTCAGTATTGTATATTGTGTTATTGTTTGATTAAACGAGATAAATGGAATAGCTCACCACCTCGAAGATGAGATTAATATAATCCCTCACTCCTTTGAGGTGAAATTAGTAGAATTCTTCAATTCGTGTAGATGAGATAAACAGAACCTTTCACCCTCGTGAAAGTGAGATTAATAGAATCTTTCACCCTATAGGTTGAAAAAGTGGGATGCTCATCTCGAGGTGGAATATTATTTAGTTGTCAGAAGTTTGTTGAAAGTTTACTTCTCTTTTACCCTGTTTTCCTTGTTCGAATGAAAAACGAAGTGTAAACAAAACACGTAGAAGTCGTATGGATAGTGGCGTGACCCGCTCCATAATGTAATCCTAGTGTACAGGCCAACAAAGCATCAAATAAAACGAGTCTTGATGTTTTTTATATTTTGTGGATTAAGATGGATTTCAATCTTGGCCTAAACTTTTCAGTAGAAGACGAACTTGTGTATGTATTTGTGACCTACGTTCGGGTCACCTCAGTCGTTGCTTACAGAACACGTAAAGAGTACATGTTACTTGTCTGAAGTCTGGGGTAAGACAAGGACATCTCCTACCGGCTGTCACTTTTATTATCTTTATGATTTAAGCTTCGCTGATTAGTTTCAGGTTGAAAAAATATAACATATGTTCTCATAGATTAGTTCTATTTGTTTACACTCCGTAATTGCGAAAACAACATTAAATCAATAAACGTGACACAAATATAGCCAACTTAGATTTGAGGACTGTAAAGACCTACTTGCCGTATTCTCTTGGATATCCAGGAGATGTGATGAAGTTTGGTTTCTGGTAGGCTACCAATAGTATTTCCCCACACGTGTCTGACACAGAGTTCTCAGTTTCTGTGCTGCCTGACCTTGACGGTAATAACCCTGGAATTGTACCATTAAACTTTGAAACTAATTGAGTTCGTGCACATTGTCAGAGATTAAATATGAGAATGAAAATGTTATAGAAGGAAGTGTATGTTAACAATATGTACATGATAGATATACTGTGTAGTAAGTAATATTCGTGAGGGATTTGATTTCGTCATACTCGCAGTCATCAAAGTTAATGCAAAATTAATACGCAGCAAATATTAAACATTTACTATTATTTTCTATACATGTGTTCACGAATATCTATTGATAGACATGAGCGAAATTTTACCGCCGTAATATAGCTGATATTAGAACAACCGCGAAATAGCAGTACAAATATCACAACTCTATAGTAACAATGAAACAGTTTCATTAAATTTAATACTATAAAAATCACATATTGCTTCATATTATACCATTATTGACGAATTCGCCTCAAGTTCATTTCACCCTGTAACGGTGACATAAAATGTTATATAAGTGTAACAAACCCTCTGTTCTTGGACGAAAATGACAAACAATTTCAGTATACGGTATAAGTTACGTTTTTACTAAATTTTTAATCTCTCTGTTAAAAAAACTATGATTACCTTTGTTCTAAAACTATCACAGACAGTTATAATGTGACGAAATTGGTAGGTAAGCGTGGCATACGTAAATATCTCTGGGCAATGAACACAACAAACCTGATATAGTGATTTGATTTTGTCATGGAGGATTATCAAATAAAAATTAAGACGATACACTAGGTAATTTATGTCTGTTACAGGTTACAGTATCGTGTGACAAGCTTCATCATTAACTAGAGCATTCTAAGTAAAATTGATATATCTTCATACGGCGTCGTATAACTGTAAAGATATCTACAAGTTGAACATTTCCATCCGTAAGTGATCATTTCGAAGACTTTTTGTAATAGCATGAAGGTTTGTCTTACATTTCTGGAAGAGGTACCTAGGAGTATTGTGGGAACTCGAAGACGGTGAATTATGAGTACCTACAATGATATGAAAGCAGTTGCAAAATGACATATGACCTTTTGAATACACATTAAACTTTTTTCAGTACAGCTTACCTTTGGGTGTATTTCGGTACCGTAGATGAAATCGGTTATAACTGTGTGGTGAAAAAGTGAAATGTACAGTCATAAATCTTCCCGATGATCTTTTGTCTATTCCCGAGCCAAGAATAAAATGATTATACTTTCCAATAACTGGATACTGTGATGAAGGGCCTGAAACACATGTCCAAATTGATATAAACTACAATGCAAGGTTGTATAAAACTGAAAAGGACCAATAAATGAAATGAAGAATTAGAAACATTAGACCTCAATAATAAACAACACTATACTCCATACACGTACTGCTAAGCCTTGTTAGTTTTATGATGATAAGTGTCTGAGCAAGTATCCAGATTCCCTGAGGTGTGCAGGCAAACGATTAGATATGTTTCTATCACAATGTTAATGACCTTTGACCCCTAGTCTATTTCATTTCTGACAGCTATACAACTACATTTGACCAAGACAGAACACTAAATATAAAGAGAAGCAATAGATTCGGACAACAATAACTAGTGGTTAATCTTATCATATTGCCTTGATCCATTTATCAGCTGGATATTGAATACAGTATCATGGCATACATCAATGCAATAACCGACAATTTTTTAATCTAAAATTATTCGCGGAAACATATTTTACCGTCATAGATAGTGATTGAAAATTCGCCGAAAAATGAGACTTGAACTCCGACCGTCCCGCCATTATCGCAGTCGACTTGCTCTATTACCCAGGTACAGCTCGACCTGAAAACAAGGAGTCCATCAGCTGTATGTATTTTACATTAGGCGTTATCACAGACGATAACCATAATAAAACAAATGTTTCGGATATATATATATATATATATAACAAAAATTCGATGGTTTGCATATATGATAATAATTACATGAATACATTAATAATAACCAAACGCATTTTATAACTAGTGAAAAAGATGTGTAAGGGAACATTATGTCCCCTGTTGCAACACTATTCTGAAAATGGGACATTAAAACGGTATTTTTGCTAATTACATGTACACTTTGTGAAAGACTTTGTCTTCATTTTGGTAATGATTTTTTTACTTCATTATAAATAAACGTCACCTAAAACCTGAGTCTGTAAGCCCTACCACTTATTGTGCAACAGTTGAAGCGAATGTTAAAATTTGTCAAATAGATCAAAGTTCATGGTCAAGATCACTTGGTCAAAGAGTTTGGTACCTGTTACAAGAAACACACATACCAAATATGTAAGTCCTACCCGTACCGTGCAAAAGTTATCCACAAGGCTAAAAGTCACAACAGACAAACAAACAAACAGACAGCAAAATAACAATATTAGCCCGATCATTAGATCAGAGGGCATAAAAATCAATTCATTCTGCACCTGATAGATCTGCATGTGCCCAATCTATAGATTTATGACTTGATCATAACAAATGCTTAGTTGTACGCATTTATATCCAGAAAATAGACAAACCCAATTCTACACTTACCTATCTAAGAGTCCTTTCGAACTGTGTATCAACCAGGATAGAACCGCACAACGTGTGCGCAATGATGTGCGATACTTATTTCGTCCAGTTTTTTTATCGTGCGAACATCGTGCATGGTGTAATTTTGGGATCCTACAACTGTATTTAGAATATGAATAGACCCTATTTCACACTTTTCAATAAGTGATTTATAAACTTATATCAACCACGATAGAATCGCGCTCTGTGTGATGTTCTTTCAGGGAATCAAACCTCGGACGGTTAGGTGAATGACGAGTACAATACTGCCCGACCACCATCACATACTACTAATGATGATGATGATGATGATGATGCACTCGATTTTAGACATTGCCTACTACATAGTCAGTATTACATAAAACTTACACTGATTCCACTGTAACATACCAGACGTCAGATCAGAAGTCCTATTCACTTACATAGGAAACATCTCAGATTCCACAAACACTAAGAAATACCAAACAACTTCCTTGGGGAGGGAGGCAGGGATTCGATTGATGCGGACAACGAAACCATGAAATGTGACAAAGTCAACAAATGTAATGGACACTGCCAAGGAGTTGGGCAGATTATAACAATTACTTTCAAACAGGCGGTTCCATCTTAAGGTTGATCATCTATACTTGGTTGTTTTGGCGCTACCCTTTACAACTTCCACAGGTGCGCCGACAACGTGATCGGATCATAGCCGAAAGCAGTCGAGCGTGTTCCACCGTGTACAACTGCCGCTGTTGTCACAGTTTTCTTATGATTTATGTTGTCATTAATATATGAATGTCACAAACCTCACACCAAATCACAAAGTTTATAATGCAGTGATTCTGAAGATTCACATAACACTATTTTGATGCCCACGATTCTGTCCGCTTCCTCCACAGCCACATTGATGCTGACATTGCTTGCTGGCAACCTGAACCAATCCTATGATTCCTGTTTTTTTCAGGATGACACCTACAGTCCTCATGACCCCCCACAAAGACTGACAGGCAAATCCTCTACAGCCAACCTCCACAGAGAAGGACCAAACCATACAATTCTTCGGCATATAATCATCCATCAGAACCCGATATTTAGCTTTCTTCATTTCGTGTGGCTCCTCCATACGTTCTTTCCGTGGTACTATCAGTTCCTAAATAATGACCAGCTTGTTTGTTGAACACTCTTTACTGTCACTGAGTAAAACACTTCGTCTTGGCGCTAAATGCATCGCCCGCTCAGTCAGCGGATGGCATGATAAGAAAAGTTCTATGTTCGGCGCTCTCTGGCACAAGGTACACTTCGGATATTTATAGAGACCCTATTTATAAAGGTTCATTGGGCTGGGTAGCTCATCACATACAGATCCTTTTTGGTCCAAATGTTACTCCATGAGAGATTCCTCTCTCGAACCCCCTGTCAGTTCAGAAAACTTCACTGTCCCTGCATACATGCTCTCTTTACCATTGTTTGTTCATCTTTCATTGCCCTCTTCTTTCTACACCAAATGCCTCCGTTCGTCTGATCCTGCCTTACTCCACAACTGTCTTGTCAATGTTCCCAATACTTGCCTGCCAACAACTGCTATACTTCCCATGATGTTCCTATGTCGATGCCTCGACTCTGTCTCTTGGATTGTATTTTCGGTTCATCTTCTTGGCATACTTCACCATTGCAGCGGAGAACAAAATGACAGATGTTTGTCATCCAGTAACAATTTCTTTTTCGAAGCGCTGCTTTGTTGTATAGTCCTTTACTGTGAATTGCATCTCGGATTGGTTGTAGTATTGTTCCAAAATCTATCGAATCTTCTCTGCTACCAGGTACCTCTCGAAGACTTTTAATTGCACCATCTTGTGTGGCAATGATCCGTAGGAGCCAAACAACTGCGAGATCGCTCTGTCGCTCATTATCCTCCAGAATGACTTGTGTGAGCACGCTTGTGTGTTCTACATAAACAGATACTCCTGGCACACCACCTTTCTGGACTTAGATGTCGATATAAGTGTTCCTCAGCATGTAGTTTTTTATGCGCTTTGATAGGTTTGTCAAAAAGATTTTCCTCTTTACCTTCTCTATCGAGATGGTCCTGAATTTCCCTAACGTTTTGGTGCCTTCTTCCATTTGGAATGAAACACCCCTCTACTTAATGACAGCTGTTGGCCAATCTCTCTCCGCCAAGTTCCATAATCGCCTTGTAAGCCATAGCCATTTCTTATACACTCTCTATGGTATACCAGGTATTGATGCCGCTCCTGTCTTATCAATAATCGATGTAACTTCCTTGTAGTATGGTTCACTGACGTCTAACTATTGGACATCTTGTGTCATCAGGATGTCGAGATATCCAAGGATCACAATACGTCTTTTTCAGGTAACTCTCCACTTCCTCTCTCTTACATGTCAATCTTCCCGAACTTTCCCCCCAATACTCGCACTGTAATTTTGGGATGTATTTGCTGTAAACAACGTCCTCTTCCACATTCTGTCTTTCCGTCGGCGTTTACTCATTTCGGCTCTGCGCAGGATCCGGGTGGTCCTACACTATGAGAGCGCAATCTTCTCATTCTCATTTGCTCTCTTGAACTGCTTTTCAGAGCAAAGGGATCCCTCCTAATATCAGTGATGTTCTGTCCTTGTCCTTGCCGTTTCCTAGTCTAAACCTATCCATGATATTGTAATGTTGAGTATGATATCCACGTTCTTATCAAACTGCGCCTGGTCAGTGTGTTATGTTCGATGGCCATTTGCACCTTCCTGTGATGTTGTCATCAATGCTAATCGCTGCTCCCTGTCGTGCAAAGCTAGGATCACGTGGTGCTCATCCCGGATCCTCTCCTCCTCAATCTCCTCCGTCTCACCAGATTCATCTGTACGTTGTACCTTATTCAGGATTATTGCGCAGGCCATATTTTCACCGTGGATCTCTAGCCCACCCACCTACCAATTCTTGCACACTCGCAACTGCACAGTCTACTGCTTACGACTGTATCTATATTTAAGACCGGTATCCTGTTTCTATCCTCAGACTGTAACAAACGACGACTTGGACAAGGAGAGTGACAGCTGAGGAGGAAATGAACCATGACAGCCAAGGAGAAGATGTGTGACAGATAAGGACAGTAAATGTGATAGATGAGGAAAAGGACTGCGATGGACGAAGACAAGGACTGTGAAAGATGAGGACAACGATTGTGACAGACAAGGACAAGTACTATTAAAGAAAACAGTAATGACGGTAACAGACGAGGACACTGACTTTGTAAAACAAGGACACGGGCTGTTACAGACGACAAGAACATAGACTGTAACAGACTACTACAAGGGTCGTAACGATTTGGGACAATGTTTGACGAAGACAAGGACTGTAACTGACTAGGGGAAGGACAAACGACGAAAACAATTGACAAAGCTTGTGACGAATGATGGCCAGTATTATGGCAGTCAAGAACAAGGGCTGTGACAGACGACCACCAGGATAGTTACAGACGAGGATTGTGACAGAGCAGAACAATGATTGTGACAGACGAGGGCAAAGACTGAAACAGACGAGGACAATGACAGCTAAAGGCGAAGATATTAATTGTGACAGACGACTATAAGGCTCGTGACACACAGGGAAAAGGATTGTGACAAATTAGGACGAAGAATGCAAAAGACGAGGACGTGGACTGTGAAAGACAAGTACATTGATTGTGACAAATAAGGGCAAGGATTGACAGACATGGAAAGTTATTGTAACAGGCGAGTGAAAGGATTGTGACAGACGATGGTAGTGTCAGACAAGGACAAGTACTGTTAAAGACGACAGTAAGGACTGAAACAGACGAGGACAGTGTCTTTCACAGTCGAGGCCTCTGACTGTAAGAGATGAAGAGAATATGGACTGTGGCAGACGACTACAAGGATTGTATCAGTTTGGGATATTTGAGACAGTAGGACAATGGTTATGACTGACGAAAACATAGACTGTTCGAGACGATGACAAGAACTGTGATGATGATGATGATTATGATGATGTATTATAGACGCGGACAAGGAATATAACAGCTGAAGACATTGACAAGGAAAATCATTTTCATCGTTTAAGCGGCTTCATTCTTTAAGAGATTCTGAATTTCAACACATTTTACATATTATTATTAAGCAAATACTTTTCGTGAACACGTTTGCGTTTCAGGGTGGTTGGGCGAAGGGTAAGGTCACTGTCACCATGTTTTCAGAAAAAATATAAATCATTATAGTGTTATGGGCCTGTAAGGGGCATGTCTCATCAATGCTTGGTATGCTTGTTTCAACTGAATAACAATGCAGTTTTTACTCTCAGTGTGCTGGTATTTATCTGAACTATGCTAAACGGGCGTGTAACAATTCTGTAAAAGCATAGTCTAAAACAACAGATCAAGACATTGTTTATATGTCGCCATCATCACATGTCTCACAAAATCTATTTACACGACAGTAAAGAAGGTCTATCAAAGACGTATACCTTCCCAGGCTCACGATATTGACGGTGGTGTAATGTGGTGATGAGATAACATGGTTTGTTTGCCCTGAACAGATTTCTGAAGAGACGATACCTGAAAATAACAAAACGAGGTTATGTATAAACACACACCAGTAAACAACTCATCTCTATACGTTATTATATACAATAAAACACTATAATGAATTGACAATCTTCATCATACAGCTGTTTTGTCTAATTATGAACCGCATGGTACTAGAGAGATGAAATATTGAAACCGATGCGACTAAAGATAAATCGCACATTGCTGAGAGTAAGTTTAAAATGGTGACAATAGAATCAGTTTTGTTATTTTCACTTGAATCGGTAAAATATAAACACTTTTTCTTAACATTGCTGATATTACACTGAACCTGTTCATTGGATCGTAGCATGCTGAGCCCGTATCAACCAAGACCTAAATTAGTCCCTGCGAATGTAATCTCAAATATTATTGTATTTTATTAGTGTTCAGTCGTTCACAAGTCTTTTTTACACTCCATTGATACTAACGTGTTAACCGAAATATAACTGCTATTTCCCTACAATCGATAGCTGATAAAGATATTTCATATAACGCTATTAACGAGTGTGGCATAGAACCACACGAGTAAATTTGTTTAATGTATACAAGTGTTGTGTATTTGATGGGTGAAGATGATTACATTTGTTCAACTAGGTTTTCTAGCCTTTCAATAAACGACGCGTTTCAATGAATTTCATTTCTGGTATACGTGTATTATGAGTCATGACCGAGTCTTCATTCAGTGTTTCTCAGGCGCTTAACACATCGTCACAACGCAAACGCTTGGATGACGTTAGCCGCCATAATAGTCTTCTACGATCTATACAGACTAGAACCGTTTGGCATTACAAGTACAATACATGACAACATGTATTTGACGTTCTTCTAACGTTATCAGATATATATATATATATAAATAAATAAAAAACATATTTGATTAGAAGGCTAGTGCACCCCCCTCCCTTGTTATGGGTTTGGGTTTTCCTGGGTCGCCTAATAGAGTTAAAATTAATACACTCAAGATAAATTCGTTATTTTGCTTAACTATGCTTTATTCTAAATTTGTATTAAAAGATGCTTTTCACTTGACTAGTGTGTGTTTTGTACAGTCATTTACACAATTAGCAAGGCGTCGACAACGTTTCGCAGGAGGCGTTACTAGCTAATTTTTTTAGTTAGCTTCAATTTCATGAATTACAATACCGTGTAGGTGTAGAACACTTCCGCTTCCGGTTATGCCTGTCAAATATTTACGTGAAGCGGGATGTCCCTAAAGGGAGATAACTTTCGGAAGAAAATAATTGTCTCTTTAAATTTTGCCATTTTGGGTTTGTGGAATCTCTACAGCACAACTGCATCACATACAAACAAAACGCTCAACGAAATAATAGATATGCAGGAAACAAACGTGAGCATCGGAGCCAAAAAAGAGACACTATCATCGAAACACCGCACGTGATCGAACAGTCAGGATGAAACACTATCAGTATATTTCTATTTTGATTTTAAGAAGAACAAAAACTTTCAAACGTTCTACACCAACATTTAATGTCACGAGAAGCCAAGTAAAAATGACCATTTGCTTGAAGAACTGTAGAAATTTCAACCGAGTGATAATTTGTTTTTTAACAAGACTATCAGTTGAGTATGACGTCATTGATTTATGACGTAGCGATAGTATCAACTTTTTTCATACATCATCACAAGGGCGTGATATATGCCAAACGTTCTTAAAATGTATATGAAAATACAAAACATGATTTACAGCAGCTGTTCATCTATTGACACCTGCAATGGTTTCCTGATCACATGTGTAAGGAACAGAACCCTAGACAATGATATAACAATCACTTACCTAGCAATGGTAAAACCAACACAATCCGTGTTAGTGGCGAGTTGTCAATTCTGGATATCAATTTGTTGTTACGACACATTCTGACTCCCACCGTCGGAGGATTTTCAGTGATGGCCGTATCCTTACACAGAAGTTAATATATTTTATACTGGTGAAAGAGAGAGGCCCCGGATGGGATCGAGTCCGGTTTTTCCTTTGTGAGTATATACTAAACTGTTACTTATGTAAGTAAGCGTTTTAGTCAATATCATATTGTGTTGTTATTTAGAAATATTGTTTATCAATATCTTAACAGCATTTAAACAAACACGAAATGATATAATATAGTTCATCAATGCAATTAATTCGTGATAAAATGTTGTGATATACTATATCCGATATATCTACAAAAACATGCGACCCTTTCAAGGGCCTTACGTTGAAACGAAAGTAAAACAACACTAGTTCCTTGTATCTGTTAACGGCACATGAAAATCCAAAAATTGGGGCATGCTGTGATAACAGCGTAAGGTGCAGCTGATTATGTGAACTTGTTGTAAACATATCCGTGTGTATCAAGATGTACACAAGTATATCAGAGCGGGATTCATGTAGGAGCGTTATATATATATATAGTTACCTATTTCTTTTACTGGACGGATTAACTTTACAAAATAACATTTCAGCGAGAGTAAACACATGTCTGTACTTCAACGTACTGTTAATACTAGATAAAATACAATAGAGACAGAAAAAAAATTAACTGCGTCGTAGAACTGATTCATCCTTCTAGGACTCGTCATTGATGTTACATCATACAGCTGTTTCGTCCTTCTAGGACTCGTCAGTGATGTTACATCATATAGCTGTCTCGTCCTTCTAGGACTCGTCATTGATGTTACATCATACAGCTGTTTCGTCCTTCTAGGACTTGTCAGTGATGCCAAGGACCTAACTTTTGAAAACTAGGAGACGACTGTGTCGAAAATGCACATTTGAAAAAAATGAAAATAAATGTAAATTGAGAGTTTAAGACAATATTGATGTATTTAAAATCATATCTCATTATAGCAGACTTACCCATCAATATGTCATGTTTGGTTTCACTCATACAACTATTACCAAACTGTTAATTATTTCATTAACAACAGTAGCCGATATTATACTGAACTGTAAAAAGAAAACATCATATCTGATATCAATTTAACATTATCTCCAAATTATCACTTTGGAATTTAAGTATTCATTAAAATCGACGAGGTCACAATATACCTTTCTTTTACATGTACAGTAATGTACCTACATGTTGTATTTTCCTGATTTCTCTAATGTCCGTCAACGATCTACATATTGATGAAAAACAGGAATGAACAAGACCGAGGTTTTCACAATAGTCTTTAAAACATATTGTTACAGTATTACAGAACATGACTATATTTTACAATCCACAGGAGCGTCATTTGCAGGTACACATACTGTAAGGTGATAGGTTCGTCCGAGGTGTCTCAAGGAAGAAATCAGTCACTTAACCTGAAAGAAAATGAATTACTATAAAGTATCAACATCTTGATATTGACACATTAGACACACGGAAATCTACATGAACTCGGCTCATCAAGTTAGTGATTACTTTTAAAAGACAAGTTTATTTGTACCAAAACTTGAGAACTCTTTGAACATGAAATGCAAGAGTGAAGGCAAATAATAAGAAAATAATGTTGTCTTACTTTAAATCAATTTCATACAAGCGTATTGTGTATGATTACATGAAAAATTCACTACCCTCTAAAACAGAGTTTATGTCTCGATCGCGCTGAAACTTCGAAATGCTTCATACTATCAAGTGTCCTCCACTGGCTCCAATACCAGCACGATATCGGCATGGCATGCTGCCAATCAGACGCTGGTTATCCTTTATTGGTATTCGTGGTCATTCTTGACGATCGGAAAGCCACTGACAGATGACAAGAAGCTTTGGTGGATCGGTAATGCGTTCCAATAGCCTGTGCCACGCATGTTCGATAGGGTAAAGGTCACATAAAAGACTAAGTTAGTGCATACGTTCGATAGTTTCTCAACGAAGTTACTTATTTACAAGTCTAACTCTATGTGGAAGAGCATTGTCGTTTATCAGTACCATTGCAGGACCAACAGAAGCCGCAAAAAGACTTACAATTTGATGCAGGGTTGCATTCCAGCAACGCAAACCTGTGAGGCTACCACCTTTAATCACGTACAAGTCAGTGCGACTACCAAAACTGATCCCTGCCAAACCGTTATAGAGCTTCCACCAAAATGCGCATGCTCAGTGACGATGAAATCAGCATACCTCTCAACCACTCTACATCAGGTACGCCTCCTGCCATCCTAAAAGTTCACATAAAACTGAGCCCAACCGTCAAAAAACAAGCTGCTGCTGACATAATCATTAGTCCACCTGGTAAACTGCCCAATGCTGGCAAGCTCTACGGTGAGGGCTTGTGGGTCGAGGTCGTACGGTGGGTCGGTAGAAATAAAACTTTTCGAGATATTTCGTGGTGTAAAACATCAAACATATTAACTTGGTTCGATCTAGTGTAACCAGGGCAACAACAAGCATCTTGATGGTGTTATTCAACATTAATGTTTATACATGTACAACTTGCATGTAATTAATATGCTATATGAAGTTATTTAAAAACATTGTCCAAAAGTGAAAAGTACGTTTTCATCATTTAGATTTAAATACAGTACAGTCAAACAATGAAGTAAACTGCATCTTACAACTGTTTCGTCTTTCTGGGACCTGTCATTGATGGTAAGGGCTTAATTTTGAAGGTACAATGCGATAAAGAAAAATCCAAAGTGATCGAAAGGAAAGTCAAAATCTAGACGGGGAGATGTAGCAGCCCATAATTAAAAAAGAATTGTGCTTATCATATGTCAGATAATTACAGTGTCAAGAACATGTGTATATTCTGAACCGTGCCATCATTAGAAAGATTATAAAACGTAGCATGCAGGTTATGGCAACCTTCGGGGACTTAAAAGTGTCTATCACGGTATTGTAGAAAGATAAATAATTTTAACTTTTAGAAATATTTTATAACGTGCTTTTTCTTCTTAATTGTGTTAAAAATTTATATATAAACATTTTGAAAAAATATAAAAATATTTTCTGCGTTGTGAATTTTTGTTTTTATTTGTTTTGTTTCGTTGGGATAAGTGCGGTAATCGATGAGTTTACCTGTCACGTGACTTCGTGACGTCAGACTAGCAGAACTCCCCTGCATTCCTGAGGTGTAAACAAAAGCGAAACGATTTAGGTCACTCATATTAGCTTTCGAAATGATTCGCGGAGAAAACTTAGACCTCGAAGAAATCCCCAGGCACATGGAAGTATCAGGATGAGCCTAGAGTGAACGGCGGTGCAGCAAATTCGGAAGAAGTGAGGCCAAGTGACAGCGAGGAAGCGGCAGGCCACGGTTCCTTGAGTGTAATGCAAGATGGCATAGCCGAAGCTGGTCGGCTCCAAAGTACAAACTGGTAAGAATTTGCTATAACTGATCTTCAGTAGATTACTAGTCACATATCAATTTAGAATATTGATAGGAAGTTAGAAAGACCCATGATATGTAAATTTTACAACTTCATCTTAATTATAATAATTTAGGCATACTGCACCTGCTGTACAAAGCAGGTAAACTAGCTTAATTAGCTTGTCCTTGCTAGTCAGAAATCGGCGGGGAAAAGAACACAGTTTATCTCATTTAGTGTGAAAATATTGAAAATAATAGAAACAATTCAACAGGGCTCTGTATTAGGCTATGGGCTGATTGTTGGTTTATTGGAGAGGTGCCATTGGAGATGTGAACTCGGAAATTTAAGTTTAAAATAAGAATTTGATTATACGTCTCTGACAAGTTTTTCTTTAAAAAGTCCGATCTGTTACAAAGCTAGTGTTGTTGTATGAACAAGTGTGAATGTAGAGAATGCGATCTGATGATGAAGTCTGAAGAGTGTTTGTGCTGAATTCGGTCTTATCCAGCAGAAAAATGAGGATGCAGGACTGGAGTGCATTACGTATCATCAGACATTTATGCAGCCGAATGCAGCTCAATACGGCATCCTGCTGCTTGCGGAAAAGTCGTTTGATTGCTGATGATGAGTTATCATTCAATAATTTATATCTTACTTACGATAAAATCACAAAGAAACAATAAAAACCTTGTACAAGTCGCAACACTACTGATTTGAAGTTATTTGATGAGGCTGTCTTGCTTGTCTAATGCCATTAATTTTAGAGTATAAATGCCGTTTCGTGATAACAAGTTTGATATTGAAGCAAAAATCGTTTTTGTAGCATTTTATGTTTTAAATAATTCCCCGAAACTTATACAACAGTTACTTCTAAAATGATATATAGTAATATTCTAAAAACATGGCGACTTTAAGTGAATTTTGATACAAGTCCTTTAACTCTAACCATTGGTAGACACATGCTCCAAGTATACAAATTAGTCTACAATAGATTATTTTTTTCCACCAGTGATATTTTTAGAAGTAGCAATGTAATATTTCTTATCTGAAAAAGACATTACGAAATAGTAAATCTGACATTTTTTAAAAGTGCTGAATACTTTTAACATTCATTCTGAAAATATCTTCCATTACGCAACTTTATTAATATTACAATAACTATGCGAGGCCATTAAAATATCTTATCAGTAAACTGGATCTGTCTTAAGCGTTCTGGTGACTTTACCAATGAGTGTGTACAATACTCGTATATTGTATGGATGGTAAAGAACCGAACAAATATGTACAATCAATGCCCTGTACATGTAAATCGAGATCATGTGAGCGAGAGATGTCAAAATATAGGACAAATTAATGCTAAATACAGATATTTGACTAAAACAGAAAATGACTCCAGAACTTATAACATGTGTTAGACACTCAAAAAAAGAAAAAAAAACTATACCATATGAAAAGTATATTATACTTATCTAGAATTGGGCCGACACATTAAAATAACTAACATTATGAAATATGATAAAACGATGAAGCATAATTAACTTCAATGCATCATGAATGTATAATATGTGACATAACAATGAACAAAATACGTTTGAGGTTTTAGGAAGCAAAGAAAAATACAACAATGATCACAGGTGACTAGATGTTAGTACGTTTAGGATTTCTCAGAATTTTCCTATAAAAATAATAAATTGTGACATTTTTATCGGATAAACCTTAAACAATGGAGAGTTATTGAACATGTCACGACGTTAATCTCTGATATTATTAAGAATTGTTAACGCTAAAACTACTTCCGCAGCTTCACAGATGAAACAAATTCGCCAGTAAAACACAAAACATGATTCTTCAAATTAAAGAAACGTTTCTGTCCTAAATTCAACACACAATACACTGCCACGTCCTGGAAAAGCTACAAGTCCTCTTTCGTGATATACTCGTCCGGTTCCTCTCCCGGAAATCTATCATTTGAGCTGAAAATAAAGAATTATAAAGATATGACAATATTAGTAGTATCAACATCGATTTACAGGCACTAGAATATATAATAGATAGAATAGGAAGAGCATTCCTCACCTAAAACACGTGCATCATTTCTGAGGTGATATGTTAATGCATTTGATACAGCATTTTTATCACGACGTTTCGTATTTTGAATGATCTGTGACCAAGGTTTCAGCTTCCACATAGCTTCGATATTTACGTTTTGACATTGGAGACTGAATTTATATCAGCTTTAAACTTGTTTCTGCAATCCCATGTGTGAAATCTATGATTGATGCTGTTGGATATTGAATAAAGTATTGTTTAAACACAGAAAGGCAGATACATAATTGCATTAAATTAGTATTGTAAGAATGAAACAGAATTATGATATTGATTCAAGACCTGGGTTATATAGTCATAGAATAAATAAAAAAAGTAATAAATAATACAAATTACACAGTAGAAATAGGAATCAGTACAGCAGAATAGCTAACCTTGCACATTTTCAGGGTTCCGTTCTCAAACCCAAGACACACCTCATCACCCATCATGGCCATGGACATCGGTAAAGATTCCTGTTCCGGCAGTAGTATCATCATAGGGACGCAGTCACTGGACAGCAGCTGGACACACTTAGTGTTGGCCTCACAGATAATTATATTTCCTGCTTTTTCGAAGATGAAATCATTGATGTAATATTTTCCACTTGGTTTGTAGGTAGTTGTATCAAACTTGTCATCCCTAGATACGACATTGCCATGTCCTAGATACCGTGACCTTAGCGCTAGGTCTGTATTCAGTAAAACCAGATGATTGTTGTCCTTGTCTGTAGCATTGATCACACCTATATCGTCCCCTGTGTGACTCATCCTCACCTTCCACGGCCAGACAAACATGGCGTCGCCCTGCCGATCCTTCTCGTGACCTTGAGCAGAGTAATGTACAAGTACTCTCTTACTGTCGGAGGTTACGTTGTAGTCAAACTTATCCATCTGTGTTACATAGATATCTCCACTAGGTGAGGCACATATATCTACTGGGGATAAGTCACCAGTAAGGAAGAGGGAAGTCACCTCTCCACTAGACAGTGTCACCTGTTTGATATCTTTATCTTCCTCTCCACATATTAACAGTGTATTGTCACTAACGACAGTCATACCAGCAACGATGGAATCAAAGGTCACGGTTTTTTCTATGTCTCCACTTTTATCTCTTAAGATTATTGCCTGAGCATTAATACATCTTATCCATGTTTTTCCGCAACAAGTGAAACACATGTGTTTAATAGCAGAGGCATTTGGAAGCTTGAATGTCGCTTCTGGAACAAGTTCCCCTCCCTGGCAAATCAGAGTAGTATCGGAATCAGAATTTTGGTTGATTGATAAGGTCGTATTGTTGGAAGGCTGGGCTCCCTGCAATGACTCTACTTCCTCAATCTCGACTTTGGTAACACCAAACATGAGTTTTAGTTGACTTGTATTTACTTCACCGTAAATGAACTCGAAAGTTTCTAATTTAGGGAGCGGTTTTCTGTCTCGCTCATTACATTCTTTTATTCCTAACTCCTCTTCCATTTGGAGAGGATCCTTGTCATCAATCACGCGTTTAGGGTAATTGTTTTCCTCTTTATCACGTCTGACCTTTTCTAAAGTTGATGAAATTCCATCAATGGCACCCTGCAGTATATCACAGTTACCTCGAGTTTGTGTCTGCGAATGTGATATAATGCTATCAGCTATCTTGTTTATGGTGTCCATCAGGTCCTTCCGTCGTATATTGATAAATTCCTGTCTTTTTAGATGTTCCTGGTTTTGTTGTGTTTTGAGTCTCCGTGCCTCCTCCAAGTCCGACATAAAGCCTAATATAAGTTCACTTTCTACATTCTCTTCAGACTTGTTGGTGTGACTTTCAGTTTCACTCTGTTTCCCAAACTCATGACATTTGTGTTGCTCGTCTGTCAGACATTCCAAGCAAACTGGGGTAGAATTACAAGTGACACAGACCAAAGCGGTCTGATTTCCCGGATGTTTTACACACTCCATATTTGTTATTAATTCCCCAGGTACATAAGTTGTAACCTTCAAATAGTGTTCATAACATTACGTTTGACATTATACGGGCTAGAAAGGTGTCTCTGATCTGTAACTAGTACACACAGAATCAACACTGTCTTTACTAAATACCCCGCCTTCTCTTCAGGTTCCTGTGATAATGAACAGAGGAATGAGGAAGTATTCACCTCAGTCAAGTCACAATCATATCCGAACGATCCATGTGACGTCATTCTCTAAATATAGAAAATGTACATATATATCATATAGAAAAATATAGAAGGTATCAAACTTTACATATGAAGGAATGAAGAAATTTAAAACGTTAAAAAATATTTTTATTATTGTCCTGTGTTTCTTAACAATGACAAAACTGTTGGCAACATAACTTTCTTATTTAAAGTAAATAACAGCAAACAATATCATTCAACAACCTGTTTATTCCTAAGACATGTATAAGCATTACTTATATTGTATATTAAATATGTTAAACCGCTTCAAGTTCACGGTTAAATCCTCGTGACTTGATAATCATACATCTTCGTTATTGATATTTCTTTGTGTGAGTCACCTTCATGACAATAAAACGTATCACTTAAATGTTGAGCGTTTTTTTTAAAGATTTAAACAAGCACCAATAACTTGAGGTAATCGCAGAGAAAATTATAATTCAAATCCATGTAATGCTCCTTTCAAACTGGTGTGTAGCTCTCAGTAGAGATAATATTTGTTTCTGATAAACACATCAAAATAATAATCGGGGATTGATAGACTATAAGTTTATACTGTTGATGTGATGGTTAGCATAACACGCGTCCGTAAGACACAGCTGCTTAAACACAGGGAGCACTGCATGTAGCTGTTGTATTGTATCATTCTACTTAACTATATTTTATCAGCAGAGAAGAAAACATACTACTTATACAAACTGAAATTACTTTTTATGCCTTAGGAAGAGAATGAATTATATTATGTCAACACACAATACCTGTGATTAGGTGGTTGTTTGGCGTCACTGACAATGTTGTGAATAGTTTGTACGTAACTGTCTGCTGATTCTATTCGAAATCAAGACATTTAACATTGTATAGTAATAATTGGTGTCAGTCATACTACTAGAACCCGACTTATTGTGTATCTACAGTTGTGCGTATATGACATTCAAGGTATTCATTGTGTAATGGTGTATAAGGTGGTACATGAATGTAAATCTCGTTAAGTTGGATGATCCAAATGTTTGTATGTTTTACAAAAACATTCTCAGGCAGTAACACATTTGTTGTCACTGCGGTGATGAAAATGACAATTGATTTGACGATTTGCTGTTCACACAACACAAAACATAGAACCTCAAAACTGCGACCTTTACTATCAGCGGATTATAAAACAGATAATAAATATTAAACTGGAAAACTTATTGGTGGCAAATAAAATATTGGCGAAGAAAACTAATGGTGACAAAGATAAAACATTTGTATATAAATAAAACCTTGGTGACATAGAAAAAAACCTTGGTGACAAATAAAACCTTGGTGACATAGAAAAAACCTTGGTGACAAATAAAACCTTGGTGACATAGAAAAAACCTTGGTGACAAATAAAACCTTGGTGACATAGAAAAAACCTTGGTGACAAATAAATCATTGGTGACATAGGAAAAACCTTGGTGACAAATAAAACATAGGTCACATAGAAAAAACCTTGATAAAAAATAAAACATTAGTCACATAGAAAAATCCAAGGTAACAAATAAAACATAGGTCACATAGAAAAAACCTTGATAACAAATAAAACATAGGTCACATAGAAAAAACCTTGATAACAAATAAAACAATAGTCACATAGAAAAAACCTTGGTGACAAATAAAACATTGGTGACATAGGAAAAACCTTGGTGACAAATAAAACATTGGTGGCATAGGAAAAACCTTGGTGACAAATAAAACTTTGGTGACATTTCATTTATCTTCATGTATCGCTTATATACACTGCAGAACTCAGTTACCGTTCCCTCCGATCGATCACGTGACCATGAAATGGTGCAGCATTAACATTGCTTAGAAATGTTCTTCGAAGCAACCTTTTCCCACATGCCACACCACCTGGTTCTCATTTGCCTTAGTAAATTCTTAACAAAAGGAACACATAGCCATATTGGAAGAGGCTGCATCTCTAGATAAGTTGGTCGTCAAATCAGGAAGGACACATTTTGTCTTAAATAAGCACTACTTTACATAATTACATTTTATTAAATTACTATTCAGAATTTGGAATGCAGATTCAATTCAGTTGTTCAGTTCAGTGATACATTCTAGGGTAGAGCAGGCACAATGTTCCAACTATTATTGATGTCGCTTTGAAATTTGAAACTCCTCCGCGTTTTTTATGTACTCCATAGCAAAAGTAACTAACGCGTAGCAAAATGAGCATCGGCGTTATACATTTTGACATTACAGATTTGCCGACGTTTGTTTTTTTCTGTATTCTTTTTATTTCTATGACAATGGCCGATTCCTGGATAGATTGTATTTAATCATATTTAGGAATACATCTTACTTCTAAGATAAGTCATGACAGTCTATGTTGTTCGAGATGTTGAACCATCAATAACAGTAACACTTCAGTAGCAAATTTGCTACCTGTGTGATGTTCGTTGTATGCCTGGTGGTTCCCATGTTGTAAACTTTTTCTTCGTTTGAGAACGTAACTTTACTTAGTTAGACTGACCAAGGTTTATACCAAGGGTGTCGGCGTAAAGCAGAAGGCGTTTACTCTTCCGGAACACCTGGTCTGATTATTCTTGTACTTTTTCAGAAGTCTCCGTGTAAACTTTTGTTTCATATGTTGCCCTTGTTTTATGGAATTTGATTTAGATTATGTAGACATGTATGTAGCTCATGTTAAAACTACATACAGTAGTAATAACATTTTCATTTCAAGTTCCACCTCAAGACATGTGTAAGAGAATCGAACAACACGCAAATATACTGACATGTCAGCTGGTGCAGACTACACGCAAACATACTGACATGAACTGAACTAACATACGATGCAGTTGTAGATGTCTATTCTGACTATGATGTAGTCTTCTAACATCCTTATGGCTGCCATCAATTGACATATTGACTACGCGAAACTGTCATTAAATTTGAATCAGTATTCTGTTATTGTTTGATCTTACTCAACGGGATGGAACCAATTTTAACGTAATTAAACATAACAAATAAATGTTTTGATAAACACAAATCATAGGCAACATTACAGCCAGTAATTATCGCACGCCGTAAAATACTGTGAAGACTTTACAATGGACAAATGACAAGAATATATGTTTTAATATCCTGAGGATTATCAAAATGAGACACAAGAAAACTCCACGTGAATAGACTCTTGTTCCCAATACAAACTTGGCAGGTCAAGGTAATTTGTACATGACGTTTCCTCCGAACATACCACCAAGCTGTTCTAAGTCCTCTTTACATTATGATTTTCAAAACGACTTATTAAAAGATATGCTGGCTATATGCATAGCTAATTTTATGTGGTGACACTTTATGTTGCCCCTTACATGTTTAGGTTAACCCTTAGGAGCCTAATATCAGCTTGTTTTTGATTGGCTGAGATTTAAGCGATAGACGTCATTAGGAATCCAGCCTTCTGATTGGCTCATAAGGTATACCTCTCATTAGAGAAAATAATTTAACATATTATATGGATTACATCATTTGAATGAATTTGTAATCTCCACCCGCCATATGTCACCAGTCAGTGGAAAACGATTACTAATATTACTCCATTTGATGCGAGTCCAAACAGCTCCTAGAAAAAAACAACCAGAAACTGTTAAATGTGTGAATATAGGTGTACTCCTTTATTCATTTTGTGGGATGTTCAAGGAATATTGCAAGCAGTTGGAATACAATTTATATAGACGATACAAAATAACAATAAAAACGCATTTTTGTATGATTGATTAAGTATTGTAGCTACATAATGTTAGATATCCACTGAGTTTATTATGACTTGGCTGTAAGATATGGGACATTAATGATCTTAAAGTCCCAAAACACTCATTGGTTAAATATCCGTGCCCTAACAAATCAAATATGTGATATCGTTGTATGTGAAACGTTATGCATTTCTTGCGTAAAGATATACAATCCAATTCTATAACAATCACGAAAACAAATTAGACATGAAAAGACACCCCATTACTTTTGTAAACAATCTCATTATGAATGTACACAATGTATAAGAAAGTGCACATATGGTTTCGGCGGGTCCTCGTCTCTTAAGTGAAAAGTCGTCCCAAGAACCGTTTCATCAAAGTTATAAAAATGGAAATGGATTATCCTCTGTTTACTACTTAACAAACTATCTATGTTTGAGGTATAGATGCATTCTCATTAGAATTCATTAGATTACGAATACATCATTCTAAAAATAGCTTTACACGACACAATTTCATAACAAGTTGCAAAAAGTCTCATACGTGAGTTTCCTCTTTTGAAAACAAAGCATGAAATACTGCTGTTGTGGTCTCTCCGGCCTTTTAGAAGTAGTTTGAATCAATATTAAATATCTATCAGGACGTGAAGTACATTTGTATCCTCTTATCATGCACCACATTTTAACAGATAGAAAATTAGACGTGGCATGTGAGGCTACGAAAACAGCAGTGACTGAATCAAATTGCAGTTAATCGACATAAAGTGATTAAACAAAGTATACACACGGAGAAGGACAAATAGAGATTGTGATAAATATAGAGGCTTTATTGATTGTGATAAATTTAGATACTATAGTGACTGTGATAAATGTAAAGGCTATATTGATTGTGATAAATATAAAGGCTTTATTGATTCTGATAAATGTAAAGGCTATATTGACTGTGATAAATGTAAAGGCTATATTGATAAATGTAAAGGCTGATAAATGCAAAAGCTTTATTGATTGTGATAAATGTAAAGGCTTTATTGAGTCTGATAAAT